ACATACCAGATTTCCTAAGTGCAAAACACCCCGAAGCCTATCCGAAATTCACCCGAGCCCTCGGGGCTCCAAACGAAACATGCACACAAGTCCTAAAATATCATACGAACTTGCTCGCGCGATCAAATCGCAAAGTAACACCTAGAACTACGAATTAAACCCCAAATTAAATGAAATTTTCAAGAAAGCTTTAAAACTTCTATTTTCACAACCGAACGTCCGAACCACGTCAAACCAACTCCGTTTCTCGCCAAATTTCACAGACAAGTCTTAAATATTATAACGGACCTGTACTAGTCTCCAGAATCAAAATACGGACCCGGTATCAACAAGGCCAAACATAAATCAAATTCTTAAAATCATTAGACTTTAAAGCTTTAAGTTTTCATCAAAATTCCATATCTCGAGTTAGGGACCTTGGAATTCGATTTCGGGCATACGCCCAGGTCCCAAACTACGATACGGACCCCCAGGACCGTCGAAACACAGATCTAGGTCCATTTGCTCAAAACGTTGACCGAAATCAACTCAAATTAACTTTTAAGGTAAAAATACTTATTTTTATCAATTTTTACCATATAAGCCTTCTAGAAAAATACCCGGATCACGCACGCAAATTTAGGAAGGCTAAAATAGGATATTTAAGGATTCGGAACACAGAATTTAATTCTAAAACATGAGATGACCTATCGGGTCATCACACAAATAAATGTATGATATATATTTTATATATACACTTTCATAGCCGTGATGAATAATATGTATATCATTTTAGTTTGTGATATGTGAGAAATTATTTTGACTTAATGTTAAAACCGAGTGTAAATATTTTCTATCACAAAAGCATAATGCAATATTTTTAAAACAATGATGATATATAATTTAGGGATAGCCAACTTCCATAGGAGGGTCTTTTCTAAACCAAAAGAACAAAACTATCTTTTATACTATATTATTGAATTGTCACTTAAAATCAATCCGACCAGTATGAGCCCACCATAATCAAAAGATAATTTTTTTCGTGTGAGAGTTTATAAGAGAAAAAAGGTAGGAAAACCGTTGTGTGACAAATGACAATTTCTTAGTTTGTAAGGAAGGAGGTGTGACTTCCAATAAAATATGTACACTTGGATATAAGTTTGCCACTTGGAAATACATTAACTATATAGCACATATAATTATTGAAAGTGTCCAAATTAAAGTGTCAAGTCAGCTCATTGGAAAAAAGATACTCTAGAAAGTCCAAACAATGGAACGAAAATCTAGTACTAAGTGAGCAGTATCAATATAACGGGATGTTAATAATTCGCAACAAACGGATAAGCTTACAGCCCGCTTGATACGAGAGATAAAGGAAAATAATTTCGAAATAGAATTTTGAATTATATTTATTCATGATTGGTCATAAATATTAGCTAATTTGCCAATAAGATTTACGCTAAAATTGTGGAATTAGTTATCCTATATAGAAGGTAGATAGCTAATTTATATCCTTATTTATCCCACTATTATATCAAATAACAGTGTAAAAAACATATAAAAGTAATAATATAAAAAAGAACAAATTCCAATAAAAACAAACAAAAAATACTGAGTCATTTATTTTTAATTTACCATACTTAAAAAAATAATTACATCATAAAATTTCGTATAAGCTTAAGTTACTCATATATAATGTTGGTTGGCCATACAAGTTACGTGAAAATATGTGAGTTATGTTGTTGCTACTGTGTTAAAACACAAAATCAGAAAAACTGTTAGAAGAATAAAAGAAATTGAAAAAACAGTAAAGATTAAGAAATATTCCGCGTCCACAATTTGCTTGTGCATCCTTAAGGAATTTTAACCCCCTCACACGTTGCCAAGGTAATGGATTAAATCCTCCCAGGATAAAACGGAATAAACCTTCCTGCAACAGTGGCAATACAAACTGCAGGATACCAACGAACTCAAAGAACGGAGCAAAATCACACTTACGAATTTGAGAGAGAGAGACTGCGAATTAGAATGCAGTATTTTCAGAAAGAAGGAAGTTCTGTAATAAGCCATGCCTCAGAATTTATAGGCAATTATTGGAAGAGGTGTGATGTTTGTTCTGGAAAAGGTGCCTTTTCAGAAGTTTACGCGGCCTGCGTGGTCCTCTGAATCTGCAGCGGCCAGACTATCCTTCTGAATCTTCAGCAGTGATCTGGCATTTAATTAATTATTAAATAAATTTTGTCCAAAAATAATCTTATCGATCGATCATTTGACAAATCCAAATCCAAATATAAATCCAAAAAATCCAAATCCAAATCCAAAGCCAAAGCTAAAGCCGAGCTGAGCGACGACGACGGCGCGAGGGTTCATTCTCTTCAACTCCTTTTAAGAGCTTTAAGAAGTGATTCTATATATAAGCACACAAATGTAGTTGTCCCTCACCAATGAGGGACAAAGTGCAAGTCAAAAGCTCACTTCATTCAAATTTCCATTTCCCTCCATTTTATTTCCCACCATTTTCAATTCACACTCTTATACTTTAAAGCCCAATGCTTAAAGTCTTTGAAGCTCAATGCCTTTAAAGTCCAACAATCCCCCACATGAATGAGAATGGATGTAACAAGAATGATCATAGATGAAAGCTGTGTGATTTGCAAGTAAGGATTAATCGCATCTGGATAAGTAGGTTTCCCTTTGAACTTTCCGTAGTGAGCATATGTCGGATATACTCGGTCAATCGGTAGATTTGATATCTTTGAAACGTCGAACTTTAGTGTATATCTAGACAACCATATGTCACACAACCAACCCTTAACCGTCTTTTGGTTCTCATTGTTGTGTTCGTTTCAGCCATGAACACCGCCTGGTTTCATAAGTGCGTAGAGAATTTGCCTTACAGAATTCTTATTGAAGCGGCTTCCACTTCACACTTACATAGGTGATTCCTAAACGTGTAATCTTTTAGATTGACACTATTTGATAAATACCACATCAAACTTAGGTAATCATTAAATAACGTGTAAGGTTCTATCCTTGTTACTGAACATTGTCTTCATCACGAGAAGGGACCAAAGATTTTACATTGACAATGTTGAACCGGTCAATCACAACTTTGTTTGAGCTCCTTGAACCTAGATCTCTGAACATCCAAAATTCTAGGTAGAGTTACCGCCATGTTGACTTGTCCTCGTCCATAGTCCAACAAGTTATTCTACGCGGGAAATGTGGATTAGAGTAAGAGTAACAATAGAGAAAAAAGCCAAAACATAACCATTATTTCAAAATTTAACGAGACTTATTAGGTGGTTACAGTTTCGAGCATTCGATACCCATATATTTTACATAGCATTGGTAAAAGTCACACCCAAGATTATACCCGTACCAGTCACAGTTTCTTCTGTTTTATAATTTGTAGATAAAGGAATTATTCTGTGAAAATAGCACGGGCTAGCCAATTTTCGGATTGATAATTAAATAATAGCCAGCGTTTGTAAAGTCATTGAAAAATAGCCACTATTTTGCTGCAACACGGAAAGTTCCAGCATAATATACTGGAAATTGGTCCACATCTGTATGAACTTCCAACATATTATGCTGGAACTCCAGCCTACGGAAAGTTACAGCATAATATACTGGAGATTGGAGCACCTATATATGAACTTCCAGCATATTATGCTGAACCAGTATATTATGCTGGAATATTTTCCGGATTTTGAACAGTATTTTCGTTCAGATTTATCTTTAAATGAAAAATGGCTAAATTTCGATTACTTTTGAAACTTTGACTATTTTTCAATTACCACTTATAAATCTGGGTATTTTTGAATTTCACCTATTATTCTTTGTCTAATCCATGTCCACCTGTGCAATGCTGGCAAGATTCGAGGACATAGCCTATGCATCAAGTGGTCATTTAGTACAAAACATTATTAGTATAGGATAATCCATATGGGATAAGAGTTTCTCACCTTTTTAATTCTGTGTTTCTTAATTTAAATGAAACCAAACATTAGGGTCCATCACTAATATGTCTGATTAGAATCAAGAATCAACAAATAATAGAGTTGGAAATGCTATACCATATTCGAAATAATTATCCACTTGTACCAAACAGTGTGAGTTCTTCAAAGTTGCAGTTTGGTATTGATTTGCTGTGCCCAACTACAACAGATGCAATGGAATAAGGTACTGTTACATACCAAAAGTCTATCATTATTCTAGACATGACCGAATAAGTCTCTTATGTATCCATAATGTAAGATTTTTTTTATGCGAATTCAAATTTATTCGAGTCCAAATAAATATACCAAACATCAAGCGTGCAAAAGTGAAAACGACAAGAATCTATTCAATAATTAACACAAAATCGGACCCCCCAAAAGATAAAAGGATCACTATGGGTGCGGTAGAGTACAGAGGTGTATCAAGATACAAATTTGGTGGGTTGGATTTTGACCATTAAATCCATTACAATTTTAATTTTATAAAATTAAAATTTAATATTTATCAAAATTTTAGCAATTTTTACGGCATATCAATACTTCGTGTCGAAAATGACGAATTCAGTGAAATACATTGATTATATATATATATATATATATATATAAGTATATATATATATATATATATAAGTATATATATATATATATATGTGTGTGTGTGTGTGTATGTGTGTATATATTCCACTTGCCTCGAACAGACTGGTAGAGATCCTTTCAACCTTAATCAAAGGTTTCAAATTTCGAATCTTGAAAATATAGAACACTTGGTAAAGAGCATTTTACATTCTTAGGGGTCGTTCGGTACGCAGCATAAGGTGGGATAAAGTGTGAGATTAAATATATACCATACAGTATAAACTATAAAACAAAGCAGGTGAGATAAGACGTGACATTAAGTAGTCCAAATTGAATAAGCCATCGACTTTATACTTTACAATATGCCTAAAGCAACCAGTAAAAAAGAAAGAAAGTATATAAAGAATATATACTTCTATATTGCCTATATATACTCCAAGGTTGCCTCTAAAATCCCCACAATTTCAAAGCAAACATAAAAAAAAAAAAAAGACCAATTGCTCTGCTTTCTTCTACTTCTTTTCACACTTTTCTCTTCAACTTGAACATTGTTACAAACAGAAATAACTTGTGATTCGAGTGGACAAAAACCAAAAATCCACCAAATACCTCTTATCTTTCACTTGAAACCAATTTTTATAAGGAAAGTGAAAAACAAAAACATGGAATCCTTAAATTTCCACAACATTAAATTGGAGAAAGCAAACGCTATACTGAGGTACAAAAAGCGTCAAAGAATGACAACTTTGTTTCGATTCATCGAATTCTGCATATTTTTGGTCATAATCTCAAGATTTTCGACACAATTGCCACTCACTTTCAAGTTCTTGACAGAGTATTTCAAGGGACTTGGTGTCACCCTTATTAGTCCCCGGTTCGTCTTCGTTCTTGGAAACGTGATTGTCATCATCCTCTTCTTGAAATCAGGACAGTCATCTGCTAAAGATGGTTCGACAAACAACGTTAAAATCGATTTGTACGATGAGTACAAGCAAAAATGTTCAATGAATAAAGAGACTTATTGTGAACAGAGCATTTTGGTAAAAGAAGCTTGTTGTGAACAGAGTAAACGGAGCATTTTGGTAAAAGATACTTGTTGTGAACGGAGCGAAAAACAGAGGAAACAGAGCATTTTGATACAAGATACTTGTTGTGAACAGAGCAAGAAACAGAGGAAACAGAGTATTTTGGTGGAAAGACAAGTTAAGAAAATTCATCGTAGCCATTCGGAGAACTCTATAAGTTTGTCCAAAGATGAGAAAAAACCTAGAAGAGAATTGATCCGATCGGCTACAGTAGGATGTCGGAAAGTTATAAACACTGACAGTGTAAAACCAACTATGACAATAACAACAGCCTCATATCCAGAGGACGAGATGAGCGGTGACGAATTCAGAAAAACTATTGAGAATTTCATAGCAAGACAACAGAGATTGTTGAGGGAAGAAGAGTTTTCAGCTGTTGATTCTTATGAATCATAGCTTGCTATTAGTTCATGTTCAAGTTTCATGTACTAGTTTTTGCTCTCTCCCTTTGTAAACTCTTTTCTTTTTTCCTAGGTCTTAGGCCTTCCTCCATATTGCTGGCTTGCTACAATAGATCTGTACAGTAATATATAGTGATGAAAGCTATGGGAGGTTTTTGCAAATGTTACTTTGCCTAAGATCTTTGTTATTTTGTCTTATAAACTTACTTTTGTTGCATGTATTGCCATTTTCCCTTCTGTTATTCCTTTCTCAACCATCTTAGAACTAGAAGGCTTAGTTTGACTATATCTATTAGGGGTCGTTTGGTACGATGGACAAGTAAAAATAATTTTGGGATAAAAATTTAGTACCGCCTTATCCGTTGTTTGGTTATTAATTCTGGAATAAGTTAACCCACGATTAAAAATAGTACCGGGATAACTTATATTTGCCAGAGGCAGGAGCTGGTATAGCGTGTTTACCAACGGGTTCAATTGAACCCATAACTTTCAACGCAGAGTAAAAATTCATTAAAATTGCAAAAAATAGTAGATATCAACCCATAATTTTAAGAATATAATGGGTTCAATGCTAAAACCCTTAAAAGTTGAATCCATGGAATTTAACCTGGATCCGCCTCTGGCCAAAAGGTGGATTAGTAATCCCATGATAAGTTATCCCAAGATAAAGCTGTAAAATTGACAATCTCAGGATTAATACAACATACCAAACAGTCAATAAGAAATAATACTACAAAAACTAATCCCAATATAACTAATCTCAGCATAACAAATGCTAACATAACTATTAACATGTCTTCAAACCAGGGTCGTTTAATACGCGGATAAAATTATGTTGGGATGTAATATAAAAATTATATCCCTGGATTAGTTGGTACTTCTGATTTGTTTGGTTTACTGCACTATTTTTGGGATATATTGTACATTATATGATCTGAAACATGTGTTCAAATTTAAATTTGATAAATTTGGATGAACTTTCGTGTTCAATTTCAACCTTAATCTTCTTAATTATTGTGAGAAAGGCTTTGCAGAAGGACAATTTTATCATTTATCTTGTTTTATCTAGATAGCTAATCCAGGATTGTTATCCCACGTCTGAATGCGGTATAAAACTAAACTACATAGAAAAATATTACTTATAACAAAAATAGAAATGTAAGAAAACGAAGCATTAAATAATATTGAATTTTATACCGTAATTATTTTCGTAATCCGGGTCACCAAACGTACCCTTAAAGTTGATTATCTCCCAAAATCTTGTTAAATCGAATGTGAACCCTGTGTAGCTGGTGTTGGATATAAAACTTCTACCCTAATAATCCAAAAGAAAATTACTCAAATAAAAGATATTCTATTTTAAAGAGAATCCGATAAAGTGAGTTAATAAATTAATTTCAAGAATATATTTGAAAAAGATTAGACATATAACATGTGGAAATATGCGCAAAGGGAGTATGTCCAGTCATTTTCATGCATTCACATATATATGGACTATTTGAACTAAGAAAAAAGCATAATACCATAACCCATCACTGATACTCTATTATTTTTTGGATAAAATTACCAAAAAGAATATTTTGTGGAATGTATTCTAAATTATGGTTGTAAAAATCTGATGCTTTTGAGCTACTGTGAGTAGTGATTTGAGTCATGGAATTTTAGACATGAAAAAAAGCACACAGAAATAAAGAAAGAAAAGCAGATCTAGAAATTGAATTAGTGTCTCTCCTTTTTCTTTTAACTTTTATTTATTCGCAAAACAATACTTTATTTACTGCGTCGAACGTGTCTTATCGATCAATGAAGTGAGCATAAATCATAAAAATCAGAGTTTAAATCTTCCAAAGAAAAAAAAATTTGGTGATTTCTTCTCATTTACCTAAATTTTAGTATGCAGCGTTATCCGGTATTTGTGTTGGTGAAAGGTAACAGGTATCTAACGCATAAGTTAAGACGCGTCCAAGCTAGTCCAAATACTATCATAGTTAAAAAAAAAAAGTATTTTCTTTATTTTGCACCTAACTAATACCATAATTTATTTGCTTTACTTAGTTTTCTTCTAAAGAATATATTTTAAAAAGCAAGATTGTAGCTTTCAAAAATTGCACCTGTCTGCTGTTCTATCTCTCTCAATCATTTCTGAGGTTAAAATAAATTTGCATAACCTTTTTTAAAAGAATTCCACTATCTCTTGTGGTGTTCGACCTAAAAATCTTGCAACTTTTTAATTGTTAAATGAACTCCACAAATCCTAAGTCTTTTTTTTTTTTTAAATCTTTTTTTTCACCAATCCATTGTTTCTCTCTTTGATTTTTTGTGTGTCCTAGGAAGGATGTGAAAAACATGTTGCAGTTGAACCAAGAGTCAGGTCCTCTCTATATGGTATAAAATATTATGGTTTGTTTAGTATTTTTCAATTTAGTTATTGTTTGTTTGATTACATCAGTTTTATGTTAATTAGAATCAACATAGGCGGATCTAGGATTTAAATTTTATGGGTTCAACTTTCACGATTTTTAGTATTGAACTTACTATATTTAAAGTTATGGGTTCATAAATACTATTTTTACAATTTTAATGAATTTTTACATATAAATTTTTACTCCGCATCGAAAGTTATGGGTTCAATTGAACCCATTAGTTAAACACTACATTCGCCCCTGAATCAACGTCTATGTGTGAAAATCACTTCACTTCTTCATTGATGGTTACATATTTTTAAAATAAATATAAAGGACAGACCGGTGCACTAAGCTCTTCCTATGTGCGGGGTCCGGGGAAGGGCCGAACCACAAGGGTCTATGGCAGCAACTATACCAGTTACGCCAAGGCTCCCCCTTCATTGTTAAAATAAATATACTAATATAAAAGCATTATTGTAAATAGCTTGAACCATTTGTATAACTCAAAAGATACCGGCGTTTAACTTCGACATTTGATCAAACTGACTCTTATGATTCGCTAAAATTCAGTCTCTTGAATTAAATTCTGAATTCGCCTACAAATAAAAGACATGAAAGCACACGTTATAATAGCCATAAAATTCTAGGAGAAAGAAGGTAAATAACACTTGCTATCTCAGCCATTACTTTCTGAAAAAAAGTTAAACAATCATTGAAAAATTTATTTCTTTGTTGGGACTAATGAAAGAACGGAGATGAAAGTATTGAATAAGACCTTCACTTTGGACGTAAATGTGTTATTACTCCCTCCGTCTTATATTAACAGTCGTGGTTATTAAAAATAGTTGTCTTAAATTATTCGTCATTTTAGAAGTTCAAGACAAAATTGATTTTTCTTTTCCTTTTCTACCCTTAGTAATTATAATTGTTCTTGAAGATGGAGATACACATAAATAGAATAAATATCCAATGAAGAGAGATTTTATCTTGAAATATAAATAAGGGTATAATAGTCTAATCCCTTTCCTAATTAATATTTTTTAAGAGGCGTGTAAAAGAAAAACATGACACATAGACAGAGGAAGTAATATAATTCATACAATAGCAGAAATACAATAAATTTGTTTTTGGTTACGTTATCAGAATTGCTGAATTTCATAGATGGGTTGTGTTGCTCGGAAATGAGAGGAGATAAAAATTGTGGCCGGCATTGGGCCAGTGATTAATTAATTCACCAGCCCAACCTCAAAATCTCTTCAAACCAGTCCCAGTCCAATAGTCCACAAATCCGGTCCAGCTATCCAGAGACAAAACGACGTCGTTTGGCTCGATTAGATCTGAGCCGTCTAGGTTACATGATCCAACGGCTTAGAACTAGGTTAACAATAATATAAAATTGTCGGATACCTTACCCCCCCCCCCTTCTCATCACCGTCTCAAACCCGTTTATATTACCACCGTCCTCCGTCGCCCGCCGCCGGCCGGAAATCGTCTCCGCCGGCGGCAATCACCCAAACCCAACCAAATTAACACCCTAGTATCCTCTCCCTCTCCTCTTTGCATATCCGGATCTAGTTTCCCTCAAATCACAAGCAAACTCCTCGAATAGTAAATTAAAATTCCGGCCAAAACCCTAAATCACCCAAACCCAACCAAATTAACACCCTAGTATCCTCTCCCTCTCCTCTTTCCACTTCCGACTTCAGTTCCTCTCAAATCCCACCGGAGTTCCTCGAATCCGCAAAACCCTAGCGTCGCCACAGTTCCTCCGGTGGCGGCGCCGCCTCCAAATCACCTCAAAACAACACCCTATAATCTTCATGCCTCCTTCACACCTAATATGGCACTGGTTTCCTTCGAAGTCGGCCAGAACTTTTCAAATTTTCGGATCTAATTTTGAGCTTCAACAGTTCAAGTCATGTCAACTCAGGCCTTTGTTTTACGAGACTTAGGAATGATTAGTTTCGAACTCATATGTGCCAGAACATTAAGTAGAGTTTTAAGTTTAATCAGTAAGTTTTTCTAAATTTCTTTGTTTCCTTTCCTCTGTCTGTAGATTTTTCTTTTTTTTTATGCATGAGCTTTCTAGTTTTGATTTGGTCGTCTCAGTAGTCCTTTTGTTTTAGGACTAATTTAGGGTTTTAATTCGACTATGCTTTGTTGATTTCGTCTGGTTTGGTTTTGAATTTTCTACCGATTCGATGACTGAAACTATGATACTGTTCTTTTAATCTTGTTATTGAAATTCTTTAATTTTTAAACAATAGTTTTCTGATTAAATCCATGCTTTATTTGGTTAGTGGTAATCTGTATCCTAGGTTTTGTAGTTTAGATTACTTTGTTGCGTTTTCTCTTAGGGTTATAAGTGTAATTCTGTTCTTGGATAATTCATGTTTGCTGTTAATTTTCTCCAGTTTCTTTATTATTTTGTTTGTTACAGTATAGTTTATTTGTTGGGTTTGTTCCAGCCTTAGAGCATAGTTTAATTAGAATTAATTGCAGCTCCATTTAGAATTAGTTAGTTAGATTGTTTAATCCATTTTTAGGAAGTGTTTGGTTATAGCTGATCCTCTGAGTTTTGGGCAGTTAACTATGGGCAAATATTAACAAGGTCAAAAGGGGTTTTGGGTTGGTTGGTAATTTCAGATTGAATAAAAGGGTAGTTTAGGTATTTTAGATAAAAGGAATCTTGTAGTAACTGAATTGGAAACCCCTAGAACATTCTAGAGGGGATCCCAATTAGAATTTTAGGAATTTAGTGATCTAGCTTGGGTAAGAAGTCAGTCTTTCAGGGACTAATTAAGCTAAAACTAAAAATAAAAGAGGGGGTAAGGGTGCAAAGTGAAATTTCTGAAAATTCCCTTAGCTTGGCCTATAAAAGAACAACCCCTTGCCTTGCAAGACAAGTTTTTACCTCTCTGAAAATTCCCAACACTTTCCAGCTTCTAATTCCCCCCTCAAAATCCATTTCTGCAACTCTAAATCCCAAATTTGAATTTCAAAATCCCAAGATGTTCAAATTTGAAGTCCTATAGTTCTAAAAACCTTGTTTTAGATCTTAAATTCTGCATAAAAACCAAAAAAAAAAAGAAACTTTCAAAAATCCCAAAAATACTGTTCCATTGAAAACCTTAGGTTAATTTTTTATTGTTAATTGCTGATTCACATCGTCTAGCTCAATATTTAGTTGCTGAAATCATCTGAGTATTCCTGGGCGAAATTTTGAGTAGATTTGGGCTGTTCAAAGTCTCCTTGGTTGATTGTTGGAGTCATTCCTCCATAGATTGGTTTTGATATTATTTCCTGGGTTGCTGAATCTATTTCTGGGCTATTTGATCATCTGCTCACCACTGCTGATGATTCCTCTTCCTTGCTTGTGTGTATTTCAACTTCCAGGTACTTGCTTAATCTCTAATGGCCAAAGCTAAGACAACTTGTAATCGAAGTTTTGATGTGAAATGAAAGGCTGATCTGGATACTTGAACTGTTCAAATTCATGTTTACTCACGTGTATTGCTCATATAACAAATTGCTCTTAATAATTTTATGTTTAGCTTACTTGTATATACGTTAACTTACACAATAGATTATGTAGTAGTAGCAATTGAAACATAGACGACCTGGACTTTTGACAATTGTAATAATTGAACTGTTATACTAGTGTGTATTTATTCAGTAATATTTAGCTTTAGCGTAAGTTAATTCTGATGTTTGTTTAGATTTCATCTCACGTCGGGGTAATTGCTAAACTTTGAAAAACATCGTGGAATTCGCAACTGATTCTGAGGCTAGTACATATTTGTATCCATGTTAACTTCAGGACTAATAGGCCTAAGGAATAATTAATAGCATGCATTTCAACATGTTAAATAAGTTTGATGCTTCCATATGGTAATAACTCTAATATAACCATATTTTCTATCTTCGTTTGTGTTAACTCATAGCTTAGTAAAATATTTAGAATCTGGCCCATACGTGAGGCTTAGTTCCATGTTTCATGCACAGCAAATTAATTCCTGATGATAGCTGGCAGTTTAAAACACTAATGCTTTGTCAAAACACATTCAGTTTGGTTTATAAATGCCTGGGCTATTAGAGCCATGAAGAAGCAATTTAACAGGCCCAAAATTAATTTGGCATCGGGTCTTTAGACCTATCACGGCCTCCCGCAAAGTTAATAAGACGCTATCCACTTTAGGCGCGCTTTTAATAATTTTATCTTCTTAAAATACGGGTGTGCATTTCATGCGACCCAAATCCAAATCCCAAAACGTTGAATAAGAGGTGTCGAGGATCCGGGTGCATTTCATGTGACGTGATCCAAAAACACGCTCTTAAACGGCGTTCACTTTCATAAAAACTAACTAAAAGCGGTTAAACAAATTTTTAAAATTGCATTATAGGTTGGAACATGTATAAAAATTAGATTTTAGCCATTTATAATATTTTAAGCGACCGTGCTAGAACCACGGGATCCGGGGGTGCCTAACACCTTCCCTCGGGTCAACAGAATTCCTTATTCAGAATTTCTGGTTCGCAGACTCCAATTGGGAAGTTGAATTTTTCCTCGATTTGGGATTTAAATAAAAACCGGTGACTTGGGACACCAAAAGCCAATCCCAAGTGGCGACTCTAAAAAATAAATAAATAATCGCATTTCGAATAATGTCACTTTAAATGGAAAAACTCCCTTATACATTTATCCTCCGGGGTAGGTGTGTAAGAAAGGAGGTGTGACAGCTCTGACGACTCTGCTGGGGACACGAACCCAGAACATCGATTCAGGTTTCAAGAATTCGAGCTTAGTGCAATTGTTATATTTGGCTTTATCTGATTTTTCTACATGTTCCATGCTATATGTGCTAAATGTTTTACCGCTTTGATATTTGTTGAAACTGTATATATAAACTGTCGCGAATCCCTTCCTCTTTCTGAGTCTTCTACATCATGGAGAAGGGTGCACTTCGTGTAGCTTCTCTTCTGTTTAGAGTCTTTTCCCCGTTTAGAACGAGGTTTGGATAAGTTGCAAAGCCGGCGGAGCTTCTGTATCCCCGGTACGCTGCCTCCCCCTCGACTCGAGTTGTCCGCTCGGGTAAGCCAGGTCTAGACCAATAAACCTAGGGTTAAGCCTAGAAGAACAAAACCTCATGCCGGATCCCTAGTAGGACGCTTATTTGCATCATGTGCATTTGACTTAGGGTACTCAACACAGGGGTTTGGTCCGTCTAGGACAGGTGACCTGAAATGAATTGACCATCCTGATGCATCTTACGTGCTACTTGCACATTTATTTGCTCGGATTTGCATGTTGACCGGCTCGTCTAAATGAGTGAAAATTGAGAAAATAAGCAGTGTTAGGATTAAGTGAGGGTGACCATTTGTTGTGAAAAACCAAATGCCCAAATAGTACCGAAATGCTGCCGGATTTTTGAAAAATAAAAAAAAAAACAGGAAAAGGAAAATATTTGAAAACAAAGAAAGAAAAATTGTGGTTCAAAATAGTTTTGATTTTGGCAAATCTGCCCGAACTACGCCGGTTTGATTCTCACCGGATGTGAGATACGTAGGCAACCCTCGTCGGGTCCAACCTCCCATTCTGCCAAAAATAACCAAAAATGCCAAATTTTAATTTTGTGTCATAAATTAGTCGGGTGATGCCATTCCTGTCTAAAATAAGCCGAATGTCCCCAAAAGGACGCCGGAAGGCCGTTTTTGCAAGAATAGCCACCTTGAGTCATTTTTAAATGGTTTGCGGGCACAGCCTTAAAACCTTCCTCCCAGAAGTGCTGAAAGGCCGTATTTGCAAATCCAAGTCCTTATTTTCTAAATAAAGAATTTTTGCACAAATAGCCATTTTTCAAAATAAATCATTAAATTCCCCTAAAAAAATGTGCAGGATGAATTCAAGTAACATCGAAACCTTCTCTGTCCTGAGCGAGATCCCTTTGAAACTCCATATGTGGTGGCATGACTTGGGAAAAGGAAGCAGAGATACTGCCGTTAAAAGCCTGGTCGGTCTTGTAGATTTATTGAAAATCAGACCAAGGAAGGATGTCATTGAGGCACTGCTACCATTTTGGGACCCGACCCGTAATGTATTCCGATTTTCAAATTTTGAACTCACACCCACATTGGAAGAAATTGCTGGATATGCCGGTCTCAATGGGAACCTCCGCGGTAGATACCCTTTGGCCCCACGACCGTTAACTCTTCATAGGTTCTTGGATTTGTTGAACATCAGTCGGGATATTCAGGACCCGCGGTAGATATCTGGCGGAAGGGTATTGTACACTACATTTCCTATATCACCGGTATGGTAACCCCAAAGGTTTTGAGGAACCCAATACAGGATTAACACATGCTGGAAATAAAGACAAATAGGAAGCCCGACGGGGATTAGCCTTCATGGTGGCCTTTTTGGGAGTGGTAATTTGTCCTAGAAAAGATGGTCACATAGACCTTGGCCTAGTAGGGATGCTAGATGTTGCCATGAAGAAACCTACTAGCACAGCGGTTCCCCTGATTGTAGCAGAAATATACCGAGCTCTGACCAAATGTCGAGAAGGGGAGAAATTCTTTCAAGGTTGCAATTTGCTCTTGCAGTTGTGGATACAGGAACATCTCTGTCACCGCACAGGCTACATGAACAACGATTTAACCGGGTTGAGTTGTATTGTAGAATTCGAGACCCGAGTTACAGGTATTGAGTTCCCTGAGGGTATTGAGGCCTGGTCGTCATGTTTAAGATCCCTCACTGCAGATAAAGTTGAATGGGCTTATGGATGGCTTCCTCCTACTGAAGTTGTATACACATCAGCAGAGGTCTCTAATATTCTTTTGATGGGTATTCGAAGCATTCAGCCCTATGCTCCTTACCGAGTTTTGCGACAATTTGGAAGATTCCAGACGGTGCACAACGATGAAGACCTGAGTGGGCAAGTCATTGAGTTAGGCCCAAAAGCCACATTCCCTGAAGGTCGAATCCGAAAGATATGGAATGAGTGCAGGTACCTTGAGCCTAAAACTATAGTACAGGACCGAGCCAGAGGTGAGGTAGACCCCAAATACTTGGTTTGGTTTGGTAAAAGATTTCAAATCCCCGAGAGACCTGCCAAAAGGCCACTTGTGAAGCAATTAACTAGTGAGGCTCGGGTGCAATGGGACTGGTTAGGTAAGGAAAAAGAGTATAGGTCCCGAATAGGAGCATTAGAAAAACAGGTTCAGGAGCTCCGGTTTGAAAACAGCTTGCAAGCCGCAGCCGATGAAGGTGATAAAAAGCAACTGGCCCAGGAGAATGGAGCTCTCAAGGACCAAATTCAACAAATGAAATTAGATGCCAGGAATCGAGAAAGAAGTCTATCCGACAAGAGATTGATAAGAGGGTTGAAGAAACAAGTCCTGGACTATCAGGAAGAATTGGAAAAATCCGAGGGAAGCGTGGCAAAACTTCGGGCGCAATGGACAAAGAAGACCGCGGAAAGGGCTCAATTTGTACAGCAAATGAAGAAAAACTATGAGGGAACCATCGCCAACATGAAAAGAAAAATGAATACTCTTGAAGAAAGGGCAGCCCGTCGGGAGAAAGAATTACAGGCCAAGAGGGAACAATGCTATGGATTAATCGCCGATATGGAGAAGGAAATAAAATTATTACAGGATCTTCACTTCCAGGATTCTCAGGTACTAGAGGCTCGCACTCAACAGATAAGCCGGCTACTCCAAGAGAAAGGTCAAATCAGGGAGAGAATCAGAAACATTGCCAACTACATTGTCATGAAGTGTCAGGCCGGTGAGCGGATGGGTCGTACCACATTCTTTGCCTCCGTCATGATATTTGTTCGCCAGGTCATGAACGATCTTGATCAGTTGCAAAAGGGTCTTGCACGCAGGCCCGCGGCGATACCGAGTGACGTCCCGCGGGCCCCAGGATTTGAAGCTTTGATGTATTCTTAAAAATCGGGTCTGTAGTTTTTGAATCTAGTTTGGCACTTTCTATTTCCGAGAAAAGAAAGACAAATAGTTTAGTAGCTTTGTAATTGCAGTTGTTGTTAATGAAAATTTGAAA